ATTCACTGGTTTAAATGCGTTGTGCTCAATTTACTTACGCCTATGTCTATTACCCATTATGGAGGAGCAAAGGTCGCCTATCAGAAAGTAATTTTACTCTAATCAATTCCTTAAGTAAGATTAAGAGTGTATACTAAGCGAAAACAAAATAAAATATTATTCATGTTTTATTTAAACTAAATAAAAGTTGTTCAAACCACCATATTTGATGTATATAAAATAAAAAAAGGTAAACATAGAAAAAAAGAGAAAAAAAATACTATAAATGAGTTAAGGATGAGTAGATACATGAACTAAGTGAAGTAGGTTATCATGAATTCAGTTTGTTTTGTTTTGTTTATTTATTGATTGGATTCATAAGTAAGTGAGTAAGTGGGTCATTTATCTTACCAGATGAAGCAGTTTTAATATTGTAAAACTGACTAAAAGACAGATTTATATCATTAATTTAGTAACATATGGGTTAAAGCATCAATAACTTTTTATCAATCACTTGTAACTAACATCTAGAAGGTTTAAATTTAGACAAGTTTCACAATTTGTGACCATCATGTTATCCAAAAACAAAACACTGACTATAACTATGCTTTTTAAGTTCACTATGCCAAAGTTAATGTAAAATTTATTTGTTTGGAGCCCTCAAATGCCCTGGTACGGCCGAGGGTGGGGAGCGTTAGCTCTCCCTCTCGAAATGCTTTCACATGGCCACATGCATAAAACCACTGACAGGGAAGTCCTGCTGACTGCCTTCTCGTGGCATTACTGTTGTTTACGAAAATGAGAGGAAGAAAAGAAAATGTTCAGAACTTTAAGCGGGTCGGCGGACACGTAGAATCTACTTGGGAGAGTTGAGAAGCCCTGATTATAAATCAATAGTGAACACGGGCTCCAGGATCCTGAAGGAACAAATAGCATATGAACCAATCGTTGGTCACCGACTACCATAGGACTGCATCTCTTGACGTTACTTCTCTGCCTTGTGGATCAAAACTTTAGGTTAGAGACTCCTGGTGTGGCCCTCCAGGAAAACCAGTTGTTTCAGTTCGGGCACCCGGATGGTATCCCAGTCCTCACACAAATCGAATGATTTATGTGGTTCATATCTATTTGGTGCCACTTTATACCAATGTTTATATGTTTAAACAAATAAATAATATATATTAGAGGATATCAACTTAAACTAGCTAAGTGTTTGATGATCCCTGGTTATTTTTAATGATGATTGATCAAACGAATTACTTTACCAAGAAAAAAAAAACAAAAAAAAACACAAGTACATTTATTTTACATAACTTATTTCTAGAGAAATTCTTCCAATCAGCTTTCTGATTGTTCAAGTGTAATTAACCTAACTTTCAAATCAGTTAATAATTATGATCGATATACAATTAACTTAATAAAACGAGAACATAGACTTTTATTGTTATGTTGAAAAATGTCATGATATATATGCTATAGGATGATATAAATTAACCATATAAATAGGAATAAATTTATCATTTGAATGTTATTAGTCATGTATATAAAACTGATATAGATGTATGAAACAGTTATCAGTTATTATATCTAAGATTGTGACTTTATACTGGTACAAATTTGTGAAGTTATATATTAACACTATTGAATACCAGCTCAGTGATCTAAAGATTAAGCGTTTATAAGCGAAATTGAAGGTCCTGGGTTTGAGTTCCACATGCAAGATTGTAGATGATTAGTGGGGCCCTTTATATTGTGTCGTTATTTTGATCGGACGATGTTGTCGAAGGGCTCTCCACTTAAATGACCGGAGATCTGACTCCAAGTAGATCATATGAATGTTTATTATCGCCTATCCTCGTATATAATCATCAACTTGAAACGCGTTAGTCAATAACGGAATTAAATAAGTCAAATAACGAATGGACTTTTGAATACATATATTTTGTATATGTAGCGAATGGAATAGAGAGAAGTGAAACAACGCACAGTGGAGATGACGGGTAATCCAAATCTCATTCAACCAAACGTTAATCAATATTTATAGGCACACAAAAATAAGTTACAGACATGTGATGAGTAATGGGATAAGAAGTGTACACACAACTACGCGCTCATAAAAAACAGTGAAGATTGGATAAGCGAATAATTGACAAGGTCAGAATGTGACTCGAGTAGAATGAATAGAATGGGTTGTCCGAATGCTAGAATAAGGAATATGGGCTTAACATAATGACCGACATTACAGATACGTACTGCTGAAGAATGGTGTTCTAACACTGATCGATTCATAATATTAATCTCAGCTCAACAATCTCCACTACCCTTTACTAATACTTAAATTAATCATTGAATTTACCAATTATTGCTTATGGTTTTAGAACCTAAACTGATATTTAACTATTCAATGGTTGAGATCATGAGTCAGTTGAAGCTAGACCACCATGAAAAACCTGGAAGCACTGGACGGCTGTTTCGTCCTATTGTGGAACTCCCCAGCAGTGCGTATTCACGATCTCGCACCCGCGAGATTCGAACTGATTCATGATCTCAACTATTGAAATTACAATAATATCCACAGAATCCCTTCTGATATTTAATTGTTCACATTTTCTGATTTTAAAACAAATCGAGTATAAACGAGAAAATTGAAGAGAAGTGATGAAATGTGTTAATCTTAGTTTTAAAAGTTTGTGCCAACAACTAATTCATTTATGAGAATATTTCAATTTGAACTTAGTTTATTAAAGAATATCTAAATTTGGACAAATGAAAAAAATACAACGGAACAGTAAAATATGGTTCATCATTATTTACTAATGACTATTGAGTTTCATGAGGGATGTGTTCACTTTAGTTTTTTGTATATGGTAATATTCATCAGCAACAACTTACTATGGGAGAGAACAAACCAGATCCCAGCAAAGGAAGAAATCAAAAAGAAACACTGGAAGTGAATAGGATACACATTGAGAAAAGCACCGAACTGTGTCACAAGGCACGCCCTCACATGGAATCCTCAAGGCCAAAGGAAAAGCAGAAGATCAAAGAACACATTACGTCGAGAAATGAAGAGAACCATGAGATGAATGAACAACAATTGGATAGAACTAGAAAAGAAGGCTAAGGAAAGAGTGAGTTAGAGAATGTTGGTCAGTAACATATATTCCATTAGGAGTAATAAGCGTAAATATGTAAGTTATGTTCATTAGTTCGACTATGTCATTTATGAGTTTCATTCGACTGAAAAATTTTACAAATTGAATACATTAGCAACAATATCTAACTTATAATATATTCACTGATGAGAAGGTGATTAGCTTTTAAACTTGTAAAGTAATTAATATGAAATGATATTGGATGTTTAGATATACTTCTCTGTAGGAAGAAGAAACTATTTATATTACTGAATAGATTATGAGAATATGTAATCAATGAACTAAAGAGATTCAGAATGAAGAGTTCATTAATAATTTCTATTCCTGTCATGCTTATATCTTTGAATATATGTTAATTTCAACATTTGAAATCATGATTCATTTGAAGATAGACCATCATGGAAAACCTGGAAGCACTGGACGGCCGTTTCGTCCCAGCATGGGACTCCTCAGCAGTGTGCATCCATGATCCCACTGCCGCGAGATTCGAACGTAGGACCTATATGTTTCGCTCCCGAACGCTTAACCATTAGACCACTGAGTCGGCATCTGATGGTGTTAATGTCTAACTTAAACCAAGCTTCAATTGACTCATGATTTCAACTACTGAAATTATTAAAATCTCCACAAAACCCCTTTTGATAAAATGTAAATTTGTTATATCTAGAGCTTATATTCTTGATATACCGCGTATAACTTGAGCACTAGAACACTTAAACCCTTCCAAGTCACAATGAGAAAACAGAAGACTAGTGAAAAGAATGTTATTTCAGACCATGTTAATTATAGTACAAAATTGTCAGGTATTTATAGTTTATAGTAAGTAACGAAACCATCATTACAATCGGCATATAGGAGGTTAATAGCATTGTCCAATCAGGAAGCTACACGTAGGTATTCTAGAATATTCTTCCAAAAGATGATTGGATGAAATATATTCATCTCTTTCTGAGCTTCTTACAGCTTCTTCGAGCTTACTCATGGACCGTAATCACACAATTACTGTTAAAATAAGCTGTAGCATTTACTATTAACTGTATACTATTGAAATGTATCCATCAATGTAAACAAAATGGTTCGCTCGTTATTCTTTACAGAATATCAGTTACTGTTGTTACTCTACTTTAAACTATAAAGTTCCATGTACTCAGGATCAAATATGCGAACGTTTCAGTGTAAATTAATTGACAAGTACATTTTGAAAAGAAATCGTTAACAACTAGCTACCATTTATTGTCGAAAATATATTGCTTACCACTGTTAATAACATAAATCGAAAAGTATCTTTCTTTAAATATTACTTTGTTTTTAATGTTTACATCAATGAGTATGTGTTGTGTGCTACTGATGTCGACAGATATAAATAGTGTATATCATCAATTGAAAGCGAAATGTCTCGTTGCAGAAGGTTGAGAAGATTGAAGAGAAAAGAACGAAGATAAAAAATAATCGGTGTGTAAACGAAGGAACAATCAAATCTGAGGCAATTGATTGATATTTTGCAAATCAAGTATTTACTCTATAATTCTGTGTTCAAATATATTTAGTTGTCCTCCACTGATGTTCTCATTCACTACATAATATACAGTAGTCGACTAAACGCTAAACACTTTTATGGTTATACTCATCGATAAAATTCTTCTTCCATCCTGATGTTTGGCGTCTTTACTCTATTACAAGCATAACTGTTGCGAATCTCTTATGCAATCCCTTCATCAAGTGCAAACATTACTGTTCCTATATTTCTACGAATTGATTTATAAAGATGATTAGATTTGACTTCTCAACCATTCTGTGTATTCTATTATGATAACATTGTTGTTTCATTACTTAAAGTTAAATGAAAATAGACTAATAGTCTGTAACAGTCTTCAGTCTTCAGTAATAAGGATAGGAGGTCTATCGACCTGTATTAATCCTTGCAGTTTGTAATACTGTGGAGGTCCAATCTCGTCTTGAATATATCAACAGAAGGTGCTGATATTACGTGTTCCGGTAGAGAATTCCAATAATTCACTACTCGATGAGAGAAACGAAACTCCAGACGTAAACGATTTGATCTCGGTTTTTGAATTTTTTTTGAGTGTCCTCTCAAACGATCAGTCCTAGACGGAAGTAAAAGATAAGACATGTTAATACCAAGGTCATCGTTCAGTATACGATAAGCCAATATTAGATCACCCCGAATTCGACGGTAAGATAAAGGAAATAGGTTGAGGTGTCTCAATCTGTCTTCATAAGATAGTCCAGATAGACCTTGTACCATCTTAGTACCTCGTCGTTGGACTCGCTCTAGCATATCTGCTTCGTACTTGAAACAAGGACTTGCTGCTTGAATTCCATATTCTAAATGTGGTCTCACATAAATCGGGTATAATAGTCTAAACATTTCGTCATCTAAATACTGAAAAGACCTACGAATAGACCATAATATTCTATAGCCTTTTGCAGCAGCAGCCTTACAGTGACTAGTGGTTTTGAGATCACTACTTAATATGACTCCCAAATCTTTGTAGTTTCTTACTTTGGGTAGTACGAATCCACGTATTTTATAGTGATACGATTCATCATTGTCATTTAATTGCATCACCACGCTCTTATTTGGATTAACTTCAAGTGACCACCTATCTAACCATGCCACCAATGAGCTAAGATCATTCTGTAATACTATTCTATCTGACATACTGTGTATGGGTCTCCAAATTTTTATGTCATCAGCGAATAGTAGAATGGATGATTTTGCTACAGTTGGTAATTCATTTACATAAAGTAAAAAGAGAAGAGGACCGAGGATGGTACCTTGGGGAACTCCACTTTTCACAGGCACCCACGAGGAAAGAGTCCCATTTACCCTTACCCTTTGTCTCCTGTCATGGAGAAAGTTACTTATCCAATCTACGACTGTATAATGGATTCCGAAGAGTTCCAGTTTTAGTCTAAGACCAGAGTGAGAGACCTTATCGAAAGCCTTACTAAGGTCTATGAAGATCACATCTACAGGAATACTCTGATCTTTTGCAGCAGCCCAATCTTCTCTTGCGATGAGAAGATTTGTCAAGCACGATAGGCCTCTCCGAAAACCATGTTGTTCTCTGGAGAAAAGATTATGCCTTTCAACATAGTTTATAACAGATATCCGAATGATTTTTTCCATCAGTTTTACAACTGCACTCGTTAAGCTAACGGGTCTATAGTTACTAACTAAGTCCCTACTCCCAGCCTTGTACACCGGACTTATTATAGCGTCTTTCCAGTCTCTGGGCAGTTTGGACTGCTTCAGAGACATGTCAAACAGTATCGCCAATGGTTCAGCAATTACGTCTGATATGGCTTTCATAATCCTAGGATGAATATTATCAGGACCACTAGACTTATCAGGTTTGATATGCTGAAGTAGCCTTAAAACAGTACCTTTCTCAATGACCACAGGATCCATCAGCGAGCCGTTACGGTCATAATGAATCGTTGGTCGTTCCTCATTAGTGATAGAAAACACTTTACTGAAATATTTCGATAAAGCTTCAGCTTTTTCTGTATCATTCTCTGCCAAGATTAACGGATTTTCTTGTATCAAAAGTGATGGAATTCCATCACTTCTCTGAGTTCGTCTTTTTATATACGAGAATAACCGTTTCGAACTATATTTAGAATCCCTAACCAATTGCTTTTCGTATGATCGTCTAGTCTTACTTATTAAAGCTTTACAGGCATTCCTAGTCTTACAATAACTGGATCGGTATTGTTCTAAGCCCGTAGAGATGAACATATTCCAGTGCTTCTTCCTTCTTCTAAGAAGTTTCTTAACTGGTTTGGTTATCCATGGTGGACTATTATTCGGTCTTCGCGGTATCAGGTATGGTATGAACGAGGACGTAACTAAACTAAACTTACCTTTGAATACAGACCATGCTTCTTCAACTGATAAGCTAGTATCTACAAACCAATCTGTCTTAGCAGCGCATTCCTGAATGGCTGATATGTTAGCTTTCCATATATTTGGGCGGGGTGTGACCTGATCGTATAACATGTCCCTAGTTCTAAACGAGAAGGACAAAACAGCGTGATCACTGTTCGCTAACGGTGGGAGAACATTTAGGTCGACAATATCTTCAGTATCATGAGTGATTACCAAGTCCAACAGAGAAGAACCTTGGTTAGCACCAAAACGTGTAGGTTTGGATACATGCTGCACTAATGCATGCTCCATTATTGTTATCAGGAACCTATTTTCAAAGGAGTTTATAGATCCTTCTGTGGTCATTTCAGCCCAACTAATGTTAGGTGCATTAAAGTCTCCTATTATCAAGCACCTGGTATTGGTACTCCAAAGATGAATGTGCTCTAGAATAAAGTCATCGGCTAAACAGATTGGGCTGCGATAGATGACACCGAGCATAAACGTACTACATCCGATATCCAATTTACAGCTAATAACTTCACAAGTACCGCTGTCATGGGATTCGCTAACAAAGGAGCGTATATTTATACTATTGAATATATATAACAGGACACCACCTCCTTTTCTACAACTATGTCTATCACTCCTTAGGTAATGGTATCCCGATAGTTCTGGAGTAATGTCGAAGTTATGGACTAACCAAGTTTCTGTCACTGCTACGATGAGTGGCCTTAATCTGTCCACTAATGCTCCTAGCTCATAGAACTTATTTCTTAGACTACGAGCATTGGCATATAAGACTCCTAGGTAGAACGGCCTATCCATACAGGCCTTGGTAGCATTCGCTTCCAAGACTTGACTATCCGAAAACCCACTAACCGGAGATTTTTCTCACCATTTTGTTGGCGGATTTCTAGTTCAGCTAGTGCTTTCTTTCTTTTTATTCTGTCTTCGAGAGACATATCAGGTCTAACTCGGATATCAGAATTGTCGTGACAACGAGCATTACTTAACAGGAGGTCCCGTTGCGTCTCTGATCCTAGGATTACCTTAAGGAGTCTACATGGACGAGGTTCAGCATTGTTTTCGGTCCTCTTGCCTATTCTTACCAGCTTTTTGACCTGGACTCCTTTAGAGTTATCCGGTAAGATACTACGAATATAATCTCCCAACTTCTCTAAATCATGCGCATGTCTAATTTTGGGGTCAGGGTCGTTTGACTCCAGTAATTTGCTAACAATAATATTCGATGATATCAGATTCTTTTTTTCAGTCACACCTGGGTGGTTTTCCCTCTTTCTATCAGATTTCGGTAGTACGTTTTGTGACTCACAATGGGAGTTCACCAATGACTTGCTAACTACCTGCGCATTGCCCACAGCCTTTTTCTTTTCACTTCGTTTATTCCGTACTGTAGTCCATTTTTCATCCTTCAGTACACCGGGACTATTTGGAACAGTGACGGTCTTATTCAGATCTTCAGTGTCCACTAGAGGCACCTGGTTACTGATGTTAGTTTCAGGTGGTGCTTCTTCCCTCGGTAATATTAAAGGAGATTTCACTTTCCCGTCAATCAAATTGGGGTGTTTGAGGCGTCTTGTAACAGCAGGTACTACTACACTGACACATTCGTCACTGTCAGTGCTCATGTTATCAGTGCATGCCCTATCGTTTTTCTTACAAGCCAAAGCCAGTAGGCTCATAGCCTCTTGTATTAGTAACGTCTTATTTGCACAACAAAACATGCAAAGCCAGTGTGAGTTAGGCTTTGAACATCTTTTGTACGCAGTGGGACTTAAACGAGTGCACATCTTATGGAACCAGCTTTTGCATTCATCACACTGCATTCCTTCGTCCACAGGGAACAAACAACGTGGTTGTCCACATTTGTGAGTACTACCAACCATTTTAGTCAGATAAAGGTGTATAACACAATATGAACACTAGTGTCAGTCAATGAGGAAGAGGGTTTCACAAGACAAATCTTAGCAAGATTTAGAACCTTAACTAAAAACACTTTGATATAGACCAAGAATGCTTTTGATGCAACAATTACACAAAAGCAAGGATAATCACAACAAGTACAAAATCACTACCCTTTTTGGACACGCGCACAGTACTGACAACAAACTACTTTGGAAACAAAAACGATACTCTAATCGAATACTTTAACTGAAATAAACTCAATTAAAGTGTAAACAGTAGTTTTGATACGTATAAACGATCAAAACAACAGAATTTACTCAGCGAGGAAAAATACCACTCTCCTTTTTGAATAGCGCGGTTTGACAATTATTCAATCTCTTTGTAAAGTCGACATTTTAAACTTTTCTTTAAAAAAAATACCAGATCATAGTGGTAGTGGTCTTTTCTAATTTCGTTTAAAAATATCAAAGCTTGTGATGGTGGAGATTTGTAGCTCAGGTCAATGACTTTGATGGGGTTTTGTTATCTGAGCTGGATGGTTTGGTTGTGGAGCTTTCGTCGTTCTTCTGAACGACATCATCAGTACAAAATTCAGGTAGAAGCTGAGTACTCGAAGCTGAGTACACTAACGATAACAACGGACACAAATCAAAATATATATATACAGTAAAAAACCGTCCATGGAAAGCGTTACAAAATTGCATACTAAAAGACACAACGGACCAATAGAGTTTAGGAATGTTTCAAGTGGGAAATACGACATGAAGGTGAAAAGAGCGCTTTTGGCGCGAAAAAAAAGAAATCCAAACTTTCAAAATATAATTACAAAATTAGGACGTTTTTCAAGTGAGTTCGGAAGATCTAACTCTCCAACATAATGTATATGTTCCACTGATAGTATTGTGTCCTAAATTGATTAATTACTTACTTACGCCTGTTGCTCCTAATGGAGCATAGACCGTCGACCAGCATTCTCCAACCCACTCTGTCCTGAGCCTCCTTTTCTAGTTCCATGCAATTCTTATTCATTTTTCTCATGTTTATCTCCATTTCCCGGTATAATGTGTTCATTGATCTCCCTCTTTTCCTTTAACCTTGAGGATTTCATGTAAGGGATGTAGTTGGGTGCTTTCCTCAATGTGTGTCTTATTCACTTTCAACATTTTTTCCTGATTTCTTCCTCCACTGGAATCTGGTTTGTTCTCTCCCATAGTAGGTTGTCGCTAATAGTGTCCGACCAACCGATCGGAAGTATTTTGCGTAGACAACTGTTAATAAACACCTGTATCTTCTGGATGATGTCTTTTGTAGTTCTTCAGGTTTCCGCTAACCAGAAAATATTATTCAAATCATTTAGAAAAGTTCTAAATTGATACCGCCTATTTATTATGCATTTTATTCCGATCTTATGCTTTAAATTATTAACAACTTACTGATAGATAATCAATCAAAATAGTTGTTTTTAAGTAACTTGTTTGTTTAAATGTTATCTCCCCCTGTCTATCAACTTGATCATGTTTCTAATTTAGTGCACATCCTGTAATTATTTTCAGAATATACATATATATATATATATATATATATATATATATATATATATATATATATATATATATATATATACATATATATGTTTATGATCACTGATTCATCTCCGTTCAATAAGCATAGAAGATACAATTGATATCAATATTTTCAAATTAAATCTCTATACCTGGAAAATATCATTTTAAACTAAATTTTGGACTACATCTTACACTAGATCGAGTCATTAGTTGACGACAAAACTTGACATTTACCTGATTCACATAAACTATCGTAATAAATCTATGAAATGACTGTGGGAACATTTATATTATATAAGTCATAAATTATACAAAAAAAACTTTGTTCTCATAATGATTTGAATGTGTTGAATGTATGCGGTAAGAGTGAAGATTTGTAACTCTGATAGATGATTTGGATGAAGTTTTGTTCTCTGAGCTGACTGGTACTGTGGTGCGCGCTACTTATACTGATATAATAAGTAGTATATAACACGAGTTTAAAATATAATGTCTGGCAGCAGAAGATGGGGGAAGATCAAGAAAGGAAGAGCGGGAACACAATGGAATTTGTATGGAAACTTATGAACAATGAAATTCCAGATAATCAATTGATGTTTGCAACAGAAACAGTCCAGTTTAATATGATGGATTAATATTTTGCAAATTAACGATTTACTATATGGTTGTTAGATTTTTATAACTAGTTCTGTAATCTATTATCAAATTTATACGATTGCTATTATCAGAAGGGCTTGTGTGAAAATCTTAGAAATTTCACCGGTTAAAATCATGAATCCATTGAAGCTAGACCACCATGAAAGAACTGGACGGCCGTTTCATCCTAGTGTGGGACTCCTCACCGGTGCGCATCTACGATCCCGCTCCGCGCGAGATTCGAACCCAGTTTCGCGCCAGGCGATTAACCAACTAGACTGCTGAGTCGGCATGCAACGGTGTTAATATACGATTGTCCCCAACGGTGTTTCACTCACTACATTTTGGTGGAAGTACCGGGTTTCGAACACGGGCCCTCTCGCATGTTCTGTTCACTACAGTATATTTGTACATCTTCCATCGTTCTCTTAGATAACGTCATCTGCATAAACTTCAGGTAGAAGTGAAGTATTTGAATTTCTCCACATAAGTCTCTCAGATTATTCTTGTCCTGTCGACTTCGATCTTGATTGATCCCCGATCAAATCCTCCAGCTCACAGAACAATACTCCATTTAAGTGTAAAATGTATGTTATTAGTTACAAATGTAACGTGTTTTTTTTCCAAAAAAATTACCTAAAATGGGTATTCATTCAAGTTGAATTTGATTCTGTGTTATGATCTTTATGTATATATGTATAAGTAAATTGCTTATTTAGAAGTAATTATTTAACAAAATTAAACTGTACTACTCACAAATTGTGTTGTTTAAAAGTCATTAAACAACTTAAGTTTCAGATGTTGACATTACTCTAACTAATCACATATGGATTTTCGCACTACATTCAACTATCTTGTTTAAGTCCTCCAAAATAATTTCATCTTATTAAATAAATACAATAATTACTTTTTAATTATCGACTTCTAAGCGAATATAATGTTATTCTTAAAGTCCCATCTTCTCGATAAATATCCTGTCTACTGACGATTTTATTCTTTGAAGAACCATCAATCTTTCGTAGGTAAAAACTACCGTAGACGAACTGGAAACGTTAATGCCTTACACGTTCTTGTAGAGAAACAACATAATAGGTTGTACTTTCTGAAATTAGTTATTACTACTAGTAAAGATGTATCTGGAGTATGACAGAATTTACATGTTTCTACAGAAGACAAGACACTTATGAAAAAATGATTGATGGATAGCAGTGTAATCCAATAAGCACATTTAATCCTATTTAAGATTTATCAGCTTGATGTACCTGCATCCCAGAGTTGACGTTTAATCCGGGACTGGAACCCAGCACCGTTTGCTTCAAATGCCATTATTCAGTAGCTTTTATGTATGTCATTATAATTTTTTGAGTAGTAATGACCAAAATGTAAATTAACATCATTATTATGAGAGAAAATGCCAAGCAGTTTGTAAAAAGCATGATACCAGGAACTGGGATTTATATACATGGTTTCGCCGGAAGTGTTTGTGTCAATGATAGTGATGATGATAGGCATACATTATCCGTTTGTGAAGTGGTTGCCTATTAGCTAAAAGAATGTACTTTCAATGAAAACATCATGACTTAAATGTTACACGGTTTATTTTATAGCTGATCAGTATCCATCATTCCATCTTAAATAACATATATGACTGAGAACTTAGTAACACAAACATATACCATGTCATATCAGAAAAAAGTCTCCTACTTTAGGGTCATAATCAGACATCATTCAAATTAATTGATTACTTAACAGTTATCATTTTCAATGATTAAGATCATGAGTCAGTTGAAGCTAGACCATCATGGAAAACCTGTCCTATTATGGGACTCCTCAGCTGTGCGCATCCACGACCTCGCCCCCTGCGAGATTCGAACCCAGGACCTACTGGTTTCGCGCTAGCACTTAACCACTAGACCACTGAGCCGGCATCCAACGGTGTTAATATCTAACTTCAACTAATCCACGAAATTGAGCGACACCCATGATCATAATCATTGTAATTACTACAATCTTCACAAAACCCCTTCTGATAGTTATCATTTTTTTAGAAAATCAAAAACTCATCCCTAATCGAATTCCATGTATTCAGTTTCCAACTATAAAACTAAGTGGTACAGATTTGAATTTCACTTAGATCATTCATTCACTCTGATCAAGTTCCAAAGATTCCTAATAAATGCCTCAAGTCATCAAATAAACAGTCTCAGTAGTACAGCAGACAAACTCTTATTATTATTATTATTATTATTATTGTAATGAGTCGACTTCTTGTTTAAATTGATCGATTAACATGTTCAGTTATTTTCCTTCTTGAAAAGGTTTTTCTTAAAATATATTAAACGTTCAATAATCAGTCGTATTGATTTCCAATTTGATGAAAGTAAATGAATGAAATGATTAGAAATCAATAAAGTAATAATAATAATAATAATAATAATAATACTAAGCTTTATTATTATTGTCATCTTGTCGGTTCTAACTTGTTACTATTTGTTTGGAAAATGAAATATACAACTTTTTCATCTTATTTTTTAACTATAGAAATTAGTCATCATCATTGTAATAATCATAAAGATAAAGTTTTGTTTTTAGTTGACCAAACTATCCAGCTCAAAGAATAAAACTCTAATCAAAATCATCCATCTGAACTAAAGAAAAAAAAACAAAAAAAAAAAACAAAATCATCTCCACCATGTCAAATTGGTTTTTCTTTTTATTCAACTGTTCAATAATTTTCTGTCTGATAATCGTGTAATAAATAAAGGAATGAATTAAATTTTACTGAGTTGATAAGTAGGTTAGACATGTTGTTAATGAATTGAATTTTGGACATACTTTCAAGTTGTCTTTCAAGTAATATCAAATTAATCTAAAGTGAAAAGTGATTGATGCAATGCATTTTAGATTTTGTTTTATTTGTAGTAATGAAGGAATGGAGTCAGACAAGGCTATTTACTCTCTTCCTTCCTCTTTCTTCTGGTGGTCGACTGGATTATGAAGACCTCGACATCTGAGAGAAAACACGATATACTATGGACAGTTCAGAACCAATTAGGCGATTTAAACTTTGAAGATGACCTATCCCTCCTATCGTATACATACGAACAAATGCAGATTAAGACAGCCAGTGTAGCATCAGTCTCTGCATCAGCAGGCCTCAA